GCGGGGTTCGGGGAGGGACCCGAGGCGGGTGGCGAGCGGCGGCCTGGCGTGCGCGCTGTTGCCGCGTACCTGCGCCCCACGGCGCTGGGATTCCCGCGGGTGAGGATCGCGGCCCTATTCCTTTATTTCTGGGTCAAGGGCGCCTGCCTCAGTAGCGTGCTGCAAGGGGACAGAATTCATCCTGTGGGCTTGGAGGTGGCCGGCCGCCTGGAGGGGCCGCCCGGTTAGGGTGGGGCACTCCTAAGTCCTGTTTTGATGCCTATTGCAGTTTATAAATGTGTTTCAATCTGTGTGCTTGTTTCCCTAGCATCTCGCAAGGGACTTTGGACAATCATAAGACTAAATGCTAACTTGAGCACCTAGACATCTTGCAAGGTGCTCTTCTCCTCATTTTTATTTTCCTTATATTATTTCTCACTGCGGCTCTTGGGCTAGTTTTATTATTTTTGTCCCTATTTTACAGCCAAGGAAATGGAGATTCTGTGTGTAAAACGTGTCCTTGTACTTTGTCCAAGGACGCTGGACGGTAGGTGGCAGAGCCGGAATTTGCTTCAGAGTTCTTTTGCTCAGAGTAAATATTTGGCCTGTGGGTGAGTGGCTTTTTAGCCAGGCATGGTTTTGTCGCCCCAGGAACAGCCAACGATAACTGGAGATGTTTGAGGTTGTCACACCTAGAAAGTGTTACTAGCATGTAATGGAACGAGCCAAGGATACTGCTAAACATCTGCACTGCACAGGACAGTCTCCTGTGACCCAGAATTGTCCAGTCCCAGATGCCATTAATGCTGAGGTTGTGAGTCTCAGGGGCCAGCAGGCCTTTATGGGACATTTGATCTATGCTGTACCGTGTCTAATCCATGCTTCTACTTGAGGAGCAGGGGCTACTATTGGTCCTGAATTAATTAAAGGTGGAGCTGATAAACTTAGAGAAGGCAAGTCACATGGCCAAGTTCATGATGATGAGTGGCAGAGCTAGAAGTCCGGTGAGCCAGCCATGCTCCAGAGCCTGGCTCTTAACCGTGACATGAGTCCTGCCTGTGTGGATGCTGCACCATGATGCTGGGTATGACTGGCGTGAGCCTTGGAGTCAGATCTGGGTTTAGTTCCATCACTCCTTTGGTGTACATTTCTCTGTACAGTGGGCTCCTAGCTCAGGGCTGTTGGGAGGTGTTACAGTGTAAGGCAGATGTCATTCCTTAGACATCCAGGGTATGTGGCTCTGGGATGAACCCTGTGGCTCAACCAGCCTGCCAGACAACAGGGTCACAGCTGCCTTCATGCAGATGGCAGAGAGTACTCCTTGAGGGACAGGTTGACCTACAGGGTGAATAATCATACTCATTATTTAGTACGTATTCCTGAACTGGGTGACCTCGGGTCCTAGCAAAAAGTCCTCCCTGCCCCAAGCAGCTTACTCTCTGCAACCCAGGCTTATAAATCAGGTCAGCCAGATGCTTGGACCTCACTCTCATTGGCTCAGAGTCCCTCTCCAGTGTACAAGGGTCTTTCCATGGCAGAACAGGTTTCTGTGGGACTTTTGAGGCTTGGCACTGGCCTTCCTTGTTGGCTTCCAAGCCCATCAGACCTTGAATTGACGGGTGGGTGGAGGGGATGCTGCAGCCTAGATTTGAGCCCTGCAGAAGTGGGGTGAATTCAGGTTCTTCCACTTACTAGCTGGTGTTTCAGCAAGCTCCCTGTACTTTCTCATCTGCAGGAAGGGGTGATGACACCAGCCCTGTCGGATTGGTCATCCTATAAAATTTCTGAGTGCCCACCAGAATGCTGGGCCTGGAATATATGGTGTCTTGCCTTCTTGGAGCTTAAACTCTAGTGAAGGAAGATGGAACAGCAATATGGTTAATGCCACATCTTATTTATTTTTTTTTTTTAGAGAGAATTTTTAATATTTATTTTTTAGTTCTCGGCAGACACAACATCTTTGTTGGCATGTGGTGCTGAGGATCGAACCCGGGCCGCACGCATGCAAGGCGAGTGCTCTACCACTTGAGCCACATCCCCAGCCCAATGCCACATCTTATTAAATGCTAAAAGAAAACTAGTAATAGGGAGGCATGGAGAAATGCACATGGATGCCACAGCAGGGTGCATGCTCTGGGAGCATCTCCAGAGGGGCATCGAGGCCCCAGTGAGGAGAAGGTTTCAGCTGAACGTGACCAAGGGCAGAAGAGCCATCCAGGGGAGAGACAGCAGGTGCATGGCAGAGAGGAGGAGCCAGGCATAGGCCGTGGAGTGGGAGCTACCTTGAGTGGGCATAGGAGGGAGCCTGTGTGGCTGGAGTATAGAGAACAGGGAAGGAGTGCTGCACCAGAGGAGGGAGGCCTCTGCCAGATGGTTCATGCCCAACGTGGAGCCAGCACACAGCAGATGAACTCTTCATCTCATGATCACGGATCAGTTAGCAACTCTCAGCTGTGAGCCACAGAGGGCCTGGCCTATCAGGGTGTCCTGGCTTCAGTGTAACAAGAAGCCGGAAGCAGATCACTTTCCTAGTGTCATGAAAACAGTACTGAACCATAGTACCCCTGGAAGGCTCTCAGAGGTCTCCAGACAACCCAGGACCATGACTCCTGTCCATAGTTTCTCATCCTTGGCACTGCTGACATGTGAGGGCAGATGGTTCTGACTGGAGGCTTGTCCTGTGCACTGTAGGATGCTGACCAGTGTCTCTGGCCAGGGCCCACTGAGGCCAGCAGTGCGGGGCTCTCTCTGTGCCTGACAGACTTGTTTGCAGACCTTGCTAAGCGTCCCTTCTGGTAGCATCACCCATTCCGCAGCCATAGCCTTGTACACCTCTGCCTTCAGGAATGAGAGGGATCAGTGCTCCTCAAGGAAAGACACAAGTTCCCTTCCCCTGCCCACCACAAGATGCAGGGCAGCCTCTGCAGCCGGACATGGCCTGAGCAGCCCCAGTGCTGTACTCCCCTTAGACTCCAGCCTTAGAAGTAAGCGTCTGTGTGTTGTCCAGGCCACCCAGTCTGGTCCTTTTCTTTTTAATATATATTTTTAGTTGTCCATAGACTTTGTTTATTTGTTTATATGCAGTGCTGTTTATGTGCATATCAGCCACAACTCCAGCCCCCTGTGAGGCTTTTTTACAGCTTCCTGAACTGAATCTGTTTATGAGGCTGGAGGCTGGAAGCTGAGGTCAGAGTGCAACTGGGGGTGGGGGGCAGGTGAGGCCTCTTGTTGCAGAGGCCACCTCACTGTCCTTGCGTGGCAGAGAGGAATGAGTCTCTTACAAGGTCATAGTCCTATCCCACTGCTCCCCTTATCTCACTTAACCTGCTCCCTCCCAAAAGCTGGAGGAGTCGCAGACACAACACGGAGGGTATATTTCAGTGAGTCCTAGTGAGTCCTAGGGCCGAAGACCAGCCCCTGGCTGTTTAGGAGGAAGAGGGTGGGTGGGGCTTGCTCTTGAGGCCTCCTTACAAGCCCTGTATATGTTTTTAATCCTCACCTTGAAGCTGTTGGAGAAGCTTGGAGGAGACTGAGGTACAGCAGTACCCAGGGCTGCCCCCAGGGAGGGGCAGGGCCAGGGCCAGGATTTGAGTCCATCTGTTTCCAGGAGGAGTCACAATTGCCCTTTCTTCAGCACAGCACCTCACAGGGACCTCGATTGACCTGTCCTACCCGTGGCCAGAAGAGACAGGCAAGTACTGCATCTGACAAGGGAGGAAACTGAGGTCAGAGAGGGCACTGGAGCCAGGATGCTGCCTGGCTTCAGACCTGTCTGGGCCCTGCGGTCCCCTTGGGCACAGAGGAAGCCAGTGGTCTCTAGGGGGATGGAATTGGGACCTCACTTTCAAAATTTCCCTCCCCACAGGTGCTGCCACCCCCAACCCAGAAGGCCCCATGGAGGTCCCTGTGCCCCAGCACCTGCCAGTGAAGCAGGAGGGCGGGGTGGCCGAGGCCCTGACCCTGGACTCCCCGTGGCATCGCTTCCGCCACTTCCACCTGGGCGATGCGCCAGGGCCACGAGAGGCACTGGGGCTGCTCCGTGCCCTGTGCCGGGACTGGCTGCAGCCGGAGGTGCACACTAAGGAGCAGATGCTGGAGCTGCTGGTGCTAGAGCAGTTCCTGAGTGCCCTCCCCGCGGACACCCAGGCCTGGGTGTGCAGTCGAAGGCCCCAGAGCGGGGAGGAGGCCGTGGCCCTGCTGGAGGAGCTCTGGGTGAGCTGGCAGGGGGCGGGGCTGCACAAGAGGTTCCCGGGCCACCAGCTCCTCAGGGCCTGGGAAAACTTCCTTAATAGCCCGCTCTGCACTGCAGAGATGCCAGCCCTCAGTGCATGGGGGACACTACACACACTCAGAACACACAACCAGGGTGCATCCCAAGTGCAGATGCTGCAAAGCAGACACGGGGTGAAGTTCAGAGAACATCTGGCAGGAAGAAGGCACAGGAGCCACTCTCCTTTCAACACCTGCCGTCCAGTAGGACCCAAGCCCTCAGTTACTGTGGTGCTTGCTGGAAGGACTCTCAGGGCTCCTGAGAGCTGCTGTGGGTAGGGAGACATGCTGTTCTGGAAGGGTCTTACACATCCCCTCTGTCCACCCATGGGGTCCTGAACAGGTCTGCCTGCCCCGTGGCAGTGTGTGGCAGCGCACACAGCACCATCAGCCAGGGGCCTGGCCAAGCTGGTGTTTGCTGGGGCCCGTCTCCGCCCTGCCTGGAAGTCAGTTCCCTCTGTGCGGCTCCAGGTCCCACTCTAAATCCCTTGTTGTGTTCTGGCTGGCCCAGGCCTTGAGGGCTCAGGGATGACTTCCCAATCCCAGAGGCCAAGGCCAAGGACCAGCCTGCTCTTAGGGCAAGCCTAAATTCCTTACAGGGATTTGCAGACATAACCCCTTTTTCTAGAAGTCTTGTTGGTGCACAGCCATGGCTGCTTACTTCTGTGTAGTCTGGAGCCACAGCGACAGAACTGGCCTTCTAGCCTTTCACAGCACTGGGCCAAGCCTGGTGGCCCGCCAGGCCAAAAACCTTGACCATCTGGGCCTTTGCAGAGGAAGCTTGTCTACCCTGGTTTAGAGCCATGCTGTCCTGGGGAGATAGAATGTGAGCTACACGTCTTCCCAAGTGTTCTAGCAGCCACATTAAAAGAGGAAAAAGGAGACAGGCAAGTTTGGTTTTAATAGCCAGGGTCTAAGGCATTTTCCTTTCAACATGTGGCCTCAGCCACCATGTGGGGCTGGTGAGAGGAGAAGCTGGAGCAGATAGGTCTGCTTGTAGGTGTGGTGCAGTCAAGGGGACCAGCAGGGGGTGAGGCGATGGGACTGGAGCATAGCAGAGGGAAGGGCAGCATCTCCAGGTCTCTGAGCAAAATTTGGGTGCAGGGGAGTTGGATGTCCTCTTGCTCTTCCAAGTGACCTCCACCTCCCACTCCAGCCACCGCTGCTGGCTCCCTTCTCTAGCCTGGCCTTTCAGGCTCTCTTCTCTTCCTCTGGGCCACACTTACCTCTTCCACCCTGTGGCCACCCCGTGCTCACCCACTGGCTGCTCAGGCCTTCTCCTTACCCTTTCTGGGTCACTGTGTTCTGGATTGGGTGCTGTAACCAACCACCAGTGGCACGTGGCTTACACACAGCTCCTGGGCCTGGCTTCCTCCCTTTGCAGCCTCTGGGAGCTGGAAAAGCCACCAGAATATATTTGGCCCTGGAGACTCCAGAAGGAAGGCGTCCCTGCCAGCACCTTGATTTTAGCCCAGAGACCCTTCTGAACTTCTGGCTCCAAAACTGCAAAATGGTAGATCTGAGTTGATGCACTTATGCATTTGACACGTGACATTTCATAACCACCACAATCAGACTATCCCAGCACCCCAAAGAACTCCCTTTGGCCAGCTCTGCCGTCTCCGCACTCCCTCACCCCTGCGTCAGCCCAGCAGAGAAGCATCTGCTCGGAGTTAAGGGAATCCTGGGGTGCACAGCCTTCCAGGGGCTTCTCACTCTGCAGAGTGTCTTGAAGGCCACCCTGGCATGCTGTGACCTGGACCATGCTTAGATGTGTCTCCACTTCTCCACTCAAGCAGGTGGGTTTCCAGTTTCCCATTGTCTTTGGGAATCGGCTGCTGTGACCTCCAGTGTAGGTTTCTGTTGGAGGTGCTTTCTGGTTTTCCTGTATCCATTTGGGCCCTGTAAGTGTCAAGGTCAGGCAGCTCATAAACCGCAGAAAGCCATCACAGTTCTGGATGCAGAAGGCTGAGGTCAAAGACAGTGGTGGGTTTGGTGAAGACCCCTTTCCTGGTTCCTGATGGCACCTTTCCTCTGTATCCTCCAAAGGCAGGAGGGGCCAGGAGACTCTGGCCTCTTCTGTTCACTCCAGAGAGCTACCCTCACAACCTTGTACCTTGCTGGCACTACCTCCTGGGGGTGAGGCTCCCAGCTGGGGAGTTGGGGCAAGGGTCTCAGCCCACAGCAGAGTCCTTTGCTGGCTTCTGAACTGGCCGTTTGTTTTCTTGCTGGTGAGTGTTGAACATTGTTGGTATATTATGGATATTAGTCCTTTGTTGGTGTTAGAATTTCGCATTTTTAAAAAAGCTCCTCACGATTTGTTTACCACTGGGGTTGGCAACCACTGGCAAGAGAACATCTCCAAGGGCCCTGGAGATGTTCCCACCTGATAGTAGCCTCAAGACTGCAGGTGATTAGCTCTCTGAGCCCTGACTTAGTCAAAGTGGGAGTGCATGCCCACCTTTGCGGGGAGTGAACAAACTCAGAACAACCCTGCACAGAAACACCCCTTGGTGGCCAGTTGCTGTTACTGCTTTTGGCTCATTCAATTGCCTCCTTGGGCATTAAAATGTCCTTTTAGGTAAGATGGTGAAGTCATAGTAGTTACTGTTGCTTTTAATTTGCATTTGTGTATCTAGCAGAAAAATCCCTCCCATTTGGGGAAAGGAAGGAGTATGTTGGGGGAAATCTTAAGTGTGGGATAGCCTTCCCTGGCCCCAGGGGCTTTGCTTAGCCTTGCAGGTTCTAGAGGATGGAGGGAGCCCCTCACTAAGAGACTGGCCTTGGTGAATTTGCTAATTTGTGTGTGTGTTGCTGGGGCTCGAACCCAGGACCTCACCAATGTTACTGCAAGTTGTTCTATCACTGAGCTGTACCCTAGTGCGTTACTTTTTTCTTCTTTTAATGGTACTGAGGATGGAACTCAGGCACTTTACCACTGAGCCACATCCCCAGATCCTTTAATTTTATTTTTTTGATGGCGTGTTCAGCCCTAGCCAGATTGTAGATTCAGCCTTTCTCAGATAGGAGCCTCATCTTGTTCACTGATGTGTCCCTGGCACATAGAAGTTACTAAGAAAATGCTTGCTTTGGGGGAATGAATAATCTTTGCGCTTCCTGGAAGTACACAGTTTGACATGGGGAAGCCCCAGCATAATCTGCTTTCCCCACTTCTGTTGAGAGTGAATCTGATCTGCCCAGAGAGCTCAGATGTAGTCACCCAACAGCTGGTCTCAGCACACAATAGCTAAAGAGGATTATTTTGAGACATGGGGGCAGGGCACTAGCCAGCCTACCCAACCCAGAGGAAGACTGGTGGGTGGCCGGAAGCAGGGGGTTGGGGGAAGGGCCTCAGGCAGAGCCCTGGAGCACTACAGAAACCCAGGAAAGGAAAGGAAAGGAGGGGATCCTGGATCCACAGGTCAGGCAGGAGGTAGAGAGAAACAGAAATGTGTGACCAGAAAGCCCCAGACTTGTACTTGGGAAGAATAAAGTTGTAACAGACCATCAGCAAATTGGTGAGAACAGCTCTATGCACCCAGAGGAAGTACACACAATTTCTGGGAAATCCAAATCACCAAGATGTGCTCATGAGGAAGCACACGTCTGCAGTCCAAAAGCCAGAGGAGGTGAATCAGATATTTATCAAAGACCTCCACGAAAGGTGTCAAGCCAGCTTCCCCTGTGGTGGTGCGCTCCTGTAATCCCAGTGTCTTGAGAGGCTAAGTCAGGAGGATCTCAAGTTCAAGGCCAGCCTTGAGAACTTAGTGAGACCCTATCTCAAAACATAAAATGTGCCAGAGATGTAACTCAGTGGTTTAATCCCCAGTACAAAAAAAAAAAAAAGCATCAGGCCTCAGCAGTTCTGTGCTGCCAGCCCTTCAAGGAATGGCTCATAAACTACTTGAGAACACAGAGAAGGTGGGACCGCACCCAGCCCACTGTGCAGGGCTGCCAAACCTCCCCCCAACTGGCCTAGCCATACAAGGACCGCCCAAGAAAAGCCAGGTGTAGGCCCATCTCAGGGAAAAGACACAAGCATCCCAAATAGGATGTGAGCCAGCACCTGGTAAACTGGCATGTTGAAGCCAAGCCGGGTTTAATCAGATGCACAGATATTCATCCTGAGGAAATCTCCATAAAGCTCAGACTTTGTGACCTGAATCTAGGGTTCAAGGATGGGCCTGAGCAGGATGGAGCTAGAGCGTGTGGCAAAGGCCAGAGCCATCTCCAAGGGATGGTCTGCGGCCCATAACCGCTGGAGCTGCTTGAGTGGTCAGGAGTCAGTTCCCCATCTCCCAACACCAGACATTTCCAGAAAGGCTGGAGTCCTCCCAGAGTGGGGCCATCAGCTTGGCCAGTGTCCCCAGGGACTGGTGATTGAGGTGGGAAAGGCTCATGTTCCAAGCAGAGTTCAAGTGAAGGGGTGTGGTGGGTGTGGACCTGGGCCAACTCCTTCAGCCCAGAAGAACTGCAGTCATCTGGGGCAGGGTTTGAGGAATGGCAACCATGGCGCAGAGAACCTAAAACAGACAATCCAAAGCTCTTCTTTGGCCTTTGGGCTCTTGGCTGGTACCATCTACTCAGGAGCTATCCACCATTTGTGCTGAGAGAAGCCCTGGTTCTGAACTCACTTCATTTTTTTTCCTGAGTTAAAAGTAGCTTATAGGTTCTGCAGTTTATCCAAAGGACAGCAAGAAGCCACAGTGAGATTTACAACAGGTGTGTGAATTAGTTATCTGATGCTATGGAAAAAATCACCCCAAGTTTAGGGGCTTAAAGAAACACTGAAGCCCAGTTTGTGTGGGTCATCAATGTGAGAGTGGCTAGGCAGGTGGCCTGGCTAAGGGTTGACTGGGCGGAGGACACACCTCCCACACAGCTCCCTGACACTGGTTTCCAAAGGCCAGGGGAGCTTCTCCAGCACAGCTTTGGGTTTGCCTGGAGCAAACCAGTCCGATGACTGGTTGAAGTGGATGAGGGAAGGGAGGTGCAGGCTGCGACCCGGTCTCTCAATCTGGAATGTGGTATCTCTCGTTTCAGGGACCAGCCATCTCCCCAAATCATTCAACAGCAGTGAGGGTATCTCAGGACACGGCAGAAGGCTCCGGGGTCAGTGTCGGAAAGGAAGATAGAGGGATGGTGCCTTTAGGTGAGCAGTGGCTCTTCCCTGCATTCTCCTGGCCCCCAGCACTAGGGGTCCCTTCTCTCCCTTGGCCCCTACTGTCATCCCCTTGTTCAGTGAAGGGCCATGGCACCAGAACCAGAGATGACTCTGGCATGTCTCTGCCCTTGGGGAGCTGGCGGTAGATGGCGTCAGACTTAGGAGGGCAGGCCACAGGAGCAGTCGGTGAGAAGCACCGGCTGTAGTGAGTGCTGCCTCTGTCCAAAGCCCTCAGCAGCCCCTGGAGAGAAGGTCTTGCTCTCTGTGTTTTGTGGCTACTGATAGTGGGGCACCAGGTGCTAGAAAGGGCTGTCTGGAGAGCAGTGCTGGCAGCCCATTCCAAAGCCTGTGCACCCAGCCCTCAGCAGGTCCCCTCCAGTGGAGCCCGCCCCATCTCCCACAGTCATTGTGTCAGGGTGTGGCGCTCTGGGCCTACTGCCTTGGATGGGAGTGCAGTCTTTAGGGCAAGGAGAGCTCACCACTGTGCAGCCCTTTTGGAGAAGGGACCGAGAAAGACGTCCACCTGAGGAAAAGAGACTGGTGGTCTGGGCGGAACCAGTGCTGGAGACCAGGCAGGAGGGTCAAGCTGAGCTCACAACGTAAAACAGGAAAAGCAGATGGGGAACCTGGAGGAAGGCATAGGCGCTCATCTGACGTCTAGCTTAGTTCTTAGTCACCCCAACACCTCCCATCCTATCTCCACCCAGCCATTGGCGTGTCTTCCTGGTACCTTCCTGCCGCTGCTGCAGCTTCATCGTGTGGCCACCCCCGCGCGGCATATCCCTCTGTATGCTTGTTCCTCCCTCCCCCACCTGTCATTCCACCGGTGTTCGTCCTGTCTCCCCTTCCCACCCACACGCCCGTGTCCCTCACGCAGTCCACCTGTCCACTGAGTATTTACCTAGGCCTGGCTGCGCACCAGCCTTTTTCCAGACCCGCAGACACTGGTACTAAGTCTGCCTGCCCCGCCCGCCCCGATCGCAGCCCACAGCGGGCCCCTGACCCTGTGCCTTTCCAGCAGGAGATGCAGTGCCTGGGACTGAGGTGCCGCCAGCAGCAGGGGACACCCGGGTCGTGCGCCCCTACAAGCAGGAGCCGGGCAGCCCACCGCCAGCACCTCCAGCACCCGGCCTACCTGTCTTCTTGGCAGCGCCAGGCGCCGCGTCCTGCCCGGAGTGCGGCAAGACGCCCCTGAAGCCGGCCCATCTGCAGCGCCACCGGCAGAGCCACTCCAGTGAGAAGCCGCACGCCTGTCCCGAGTGCGGCAAGGCCTTCCGGCGCAAGGAGCACCTGCGGCGACATCGCGGCACGCACCCTGGCGGCCCGGGCCCGGCCCTGCGCCCACTGCCCGCGCGAGAGAAGCCACACGCATGCTGCGAGTGCGGCAAGACCTTCTACTGGCGTGAGCACCTCGTGCGCCACCGCAAGACGCACTCGGGCGCGCGTCCCTTTGCCTGCTGGGAGTGCGGCAAGGGCTTCGGGCGCCGGGAGCACGTATTGCGCCACCAGCGCATCCACGGCCGAGCAGCAGCTAGCGCACAGGGGACCGCCACGCCGGTCCCTGAGGGCGGTGGCTCATTCCCACCCTGGCCCCTTGGGTAGCTAGCTCACCGCCCTCACACTGCCCACGGCCCGCCTTTCCTTTCCCACTCTTCCTTTCCAGATGCCACTTTCCAGTTGAGCCTCACTGTTGCCTCCTTTCCTCCCTTGGCGAGCCCTCAGCCTCTCCTACCCCTGAGTAAGGGGCCTCGCTTCTTCTCTCGTAGCCCTCCTCTGTTTCCTCCTTCCTCCCCCCTGCCACCCTTTCCCTGCGGCAAGCAGAGTCAGGACCCCAGTCGCTAGAGAAGAGCCTGGGCAAGGAGTAGTGGCGGGGCTCCTGGGGTTAAGGAGACCCTGAGGAAAGGGCTGGGTCTTGTCCCCAGGCCAGATGGAGGCAGGAAAGGGAGGGGCGAAGGTTCTGACCAGCTAGACCCAGCAGCCAGGTGGGGCACCTTGGTCTGGTGCACCTCTCTGCGACCCAGGAACACAAGTGAATGGGTGCCTGCTCCTGGAAGGTGGTCAGAGACCACAGTTCACCAGCATCGGAGACTATTAATAAAGTCACTGACTCAGCGTGTGGCCTGCTGTCCCAGGCTGTCACTATGCCTACAGCCCTCCAGGACTGAACCCTTGGGCCCACCTCAGACCCTCCTGAAGTCTGGGCTCAGCTCTGGGAGCAGGGGTGGGGCTGCCCCATGCTTATCCTACAAAGACAGGGAGGAGGTTCAGAGAAGGAGCCCTGCCCATCTCCAGCTCAGTTCTGGACCCCACACTTCCTGGCTGTGCAGCTTCAGGCAAGACGTGTTCCTTCCCAATCTGATATAATATCCACAGTGGTGCCTTGCTGAGGCTGCTGCTTTAGCCATGCCATCCTGGGACATTCAGGGACCCCCAGGTATCAGTATTAGTAGGTGTCTTGTGCGGCATGTTTGGCCAAGAGGGAGTCTCCAGTCCTGGAGGCAGGCCATGAGCCTGCAGCCTGGCTCTGGGAAGGGGCGCTGTCTGCTGTCCAGTGCACAGGCTCTGGCAAGACCCTGCTGGGTGCCTATACTCTCAGAGCACTGTCCTGTAGCTTAGCAGGGAAACCTCAGTGGAGGGAGTGGGCAACCCTGGCCCCACAGTTCAGTCCTGGCAGGTTAGCAGGAAAGCATACGAGGTGGTGAGTGCAGACCCAAATGGCCAAAACTAGATGGTTTTCTCCGAGGTAAGACACAGGAAGCTTTAAGGGGCACTACATGTGGGGCATAGGTTGAAGCAGACAGAACAATCTGGAATATAGGACTGTGGAAGGGACAGACAAGGTAGGGCCTGAAGACAGCAGGAAACAGTTTTATTTGGCTGCAGCCAGGCCCAGAGGGCACAGCTTTTGTTGTAATCAATTAATCCCCTGAACCCCGAGTTCAGGTAGTTTCAGAACTTAAAACCCAGCACGTACAGGGAGGGGCTCAGAAGTTCACATAAAAACGGCTTTTTCTTTCACTGTTCTGGGCAGGTTGACCCTTCAAGAGCAGCACCTGAGAAAGGGGGGAGGTGCTTCTCCCCTTTCATTCTTCCCCCTGCCAGCTGTTACCACAGAGCCCAGATGGTAACTTCTCTTAGAAATGTCAACATCTCTGTGAAGCCCAGCTCAAGGCCAGAGGCCTTGTTAAAGGGTCTGTCTGTTTTTTTTTTTTTTTTTTAAATCTTTGCATTTGCAAGCACACTTCTACAAACTACTATTCTGGATAAATGTTTGTGAAAAACTAGTAAAGGGGTGTTAATCACCTGGAGTGCTGATTTCTTCCAGGCCAGTGGCCAAGTAAAATACAGCAACAGGAAAATAGAAAGTTTACCTACATTGAACTCTTCTATAGAGACTGCTGTTGATAGTCCTAAAATCAATTATGGTGAAGATTTTCTGTGGAGGAGGAGGTGCCACTACAGGAGCATATCTCATGGGCCACTCCCCTCCACAACCAGAAAGACCCTCACACACATCCAGCAGACTTGTGGAGAGCTGTTTGTCCAAGGCTGCTTGGCAGGGCAGAGGATTGGAGTGCCAGGAACACCTGTCACTGAGGGAAGTCCGAGAACTCGGGGACAGGTCAGCTGAAGGTGCTGGGACCCTTGGGAAATGAGACCTGGATTGAGGACTGCTGAGAGCCACAGGCAGGGTCACACACCAAATCCAAGCCCTCCTCCACCCTGAGTCAACCCTTCCTCTCTCAGCGGCCTGCTAGCTGGTCCTGAACCCATTCCAATTCCTCTTCTGAAATACTCCCCAAACCAGCCTCTCTATCCGCTTTCATCACCCACATGGGCCAAGCAACGTCCCCTGTCTCCTTGGACAACTGGAAGGACTTCCTATTGTCACCAGAGATTGGAGTTGTCTTCCCAGCTGGTGTTCTCACAAAAGACAAGCAAGGCCCCAAATGTAGTAAAAGTATGGCAAAGATCTTCCGGCTCTGGACGGACAGTCCATCAGGTTGGCAGACTTCTGCTGCGCATGCTTCTGTCCACAGGTGTCTAGGCACAACCGCTGGGAGAAGAGCTACAGTTCCTCTGACGTCATAGTGCTGTGCTGATGAGCATCCTGTCATCCTGGCCCACCACAGGTCCTAACCGGAACTGGTCTTACCAAGCTTATGGGGTGGGTGCAGGTCTTAATGTCCTGCTTCCCCAGTTGTCTTGTGACAACTCTGCTTTCTGGTGGCATTGTGCCTACTGGGCCACGGTCTGGTCTGTGTGGCTCGTGGGCTTGTGCAGGTCTTGGCTGGATGTCTGAGCAGTTGGTCCCTTCTGAGCAAGTGTACCCTTGCCCTTTGGTTCTGACCCCAGTCCATCTGTCCCCTCCTGCTGCAAGAGGAGTTTAGAGCTGAGCCCGGGCTGGGGTCTCTAAGCATCTCCCTCATCAGAGCTCACAGTGCCACTAGGGAGGGTCCTCAACTGATCTGTTCAGCACTAAGTCTTTGCTTGGCCCCCTGGACAACTGGAAGGACTTCCTATTGTCACCAGAGATTGGTGACACAGGGCCGACTCTGGTCACCACTTCCTGTGCTGCTTCTTACTCAAAAGAGGGGGGCAACATCTTCAGCTCTTTCATTTCCTGTCACTTGGCATCTACTCGCCCCTGGCAGATGGAGATATTCACTATTGTGCTGCTTGGCATCACCAGCCAGGCTACTGGGCCTCTCCGCCACCATGACGGAGTCAGCGCCCTGCTCTCACGTCTCTCCACCTGACTCAGCCTGTGATGGCAACGTCCACAGTGACATTCTAACTCTGGCCCCAAATGGGCCCTCAAAGGCCACTCCATTCTGACTCACCTCGACTTCCCAATGACAGGTTCTCAGGAGAGTCAGCTCTAAATTCTCTCCCTGGCTGCAGATTCCTATCCTTCATTTATTCACCTCTTTTTTGGCACTGGGGGTAGAACCAAGAGGTACTATACTACTGAACTATATCCCTACCCCTATTTTTTTGGGGGGATACCAGGGATTGAACTCAGGCACTTGAACACTGAGCCACATCCCCAGTCCTATTTTGTATTTTATTTAGAGACAGGTTCTCACCAAGTTGCTTAGTGCTACACCATTGCTGAGGCTGGCTTTGAACCTGTGATCCTCCTGTCTCAGTCTCCTGAGCCACTGGGATTATAAGCATGCACCACTGTGCCCAGCTCCGCAGCCCTTTTTTTTTTAATTTTAAATCTTGAGATAGGGTCTCACTAAATTGCCCAGGCTGGCCTCCACCTTGCAATCCTCCTGCTTCAGTCTCCCAAGCTGCAGAGGTTACAGTGTGCATCATCGGGCCTGGCCTCTTAAACACCTTAGTCTTCCTGAAACCATTATTTTCAACTTCATCAGCAATTTGCCCTCGGAAAATCTAAGAATTTGTTTCCTCTGGTGTTATGAGTGAAAGGAAAGTGGCGCAGGCTGATCCCACACACCTGGGACAGGAAGCCAGTTATTGTCAGGAGCCTGACAAGCTGCTCTGCACCAAGAGAGGGACAGCAGAGCAGCAGGAGAGCGCAGCCACTCCCCTGGAATGTGGCCTTTTACAGGCTGCAGTGCTGGCCCTGCCCAGGGGCGGGCTGTCCTGACTGGCCTAGTGAGCATCCCTGGTCTTGTTTCCTGGGGACAGAGACAGGCAGCCTTCCTGTCTCCCAGAGGGCAGCAGGGAAACCAGCAGGTCCCTTTATCTTCTCAAGGAGAGAACAGGGAACCAGTGTGTCCCCATCTCAGGGGCAGTACTTTGTCTCCTATCTCTCAGTGAGACCGGGAGAGACCAGC